AATAATGGGATAATTAAACATCCCACTTCCATCAATGGACATATCATCTAGACAAAAATCCAACAAAAAATCAGTAGAGTTATCTACACATCCACTCAAATGATTCTAATTGATACCTACAGAAAATTTCATCCCACAGCAGCAGAATACACATCTTGTTCATCAGTGCGTGGAACTTTGTCTAAAAGGTAAAACACTCTAGAACATAAAACAAGTCTCAAAAAAACTCAAAAAAGGTGTAATTATACCATGTATCTTTTCTGACTACAAAGGAATGAAGTTAAAATTAACACTTTAAGAAACTCTAGAAAATATGCAAACACATGGAAACTGAAAAACCTATTCCTGAATGAACAGTAGGTCATAGAATAAATCAATCAAGAGAGAAATAAAAGATTCCTATAACTGAATGAAGGTGACATCATAGCATATCAAAACTTAGGGGATACAGCAAAAGCAGTAATAAGGGGTTGATGTTGGGACAAAGTGGGTTAAGCCACTGCTTAACAACACTGGCAACCCATATGGGTGCCTATTTGAGTCACAGATGCCCTGTTTACAATCCAGCTCCCTCCTAATGGCCTGATAAATGCAGTAGAAGATGGCTCAAGTTCCCTGTCACCTGTATGGGAAACCAAAATGAAGCTCCTGGCTCTTGGTTTCAGCCTGGCCTAGTGCTTGCCATTGCAGTCATCCAGGTGGTGAACAAGCAACTTGAAGATTCCTCCCTCCCCCTCCCCCTTTCTCTCCCTCTCTAGCTCTGACTTTTAAAAAAATAAATCTTTAAAAATGTAAAAGAAAGAGTACTAAGAAGCAAGTTTACATAAATGATATAACTATGCATCTCAGGTCCTAGAAAAATAAGAGCAAACCAAATGCACAATTAGTAGGAGGAATGAAATAATAAATAAAAAAACTGAAATAAAAAATACAAAAGACCAGTGGAATGAAAAGTTGTTTTCATGAAAATATAAATAAAATTGGTAAACCTTTGGCCCAACTAACCAAAAAAGAAAAGGGAGAAGGCCCAAGTTAAAATCAGATATGAAAAAAGGAGATGTTACAACAGATACCACAGAAATAGAGTCATCAGGGATTACTACAAATAGCTATGTGCCAACAAATTGGAAAATATAGAAGAAATAGAAAGAAATAGATTTCTAGACACATACAATTTACCACATTGACACATCAAGACATAGAAAACCTGAATAGACCAATAACCAAAATGAAGATGTAATCAGTATTAAAGACCCAACAATAACAACAACAAAAGCCCAGTACAGATGGCTTTACTGCTGAATTCAAGCAAACTTTTAAAGAACTAATCCCAATTCTTCTTAAACTATTCAAGACAGTTGAAAAGGAGGGAATTCTCCCAAACTCCTTCTATGAGGCCGATATCACCTTAATTCCAAAACCAGAAAAAGATGCAACAAAAGACAAATAGACAAGTATCCCCAATGAGAATAGATGCAAATATCCTTAACAAAACACTAACTATATAAATAAATAAACATAAAAATTCACTAAAAACCAATTTACATCCTGGAAGAGACAGCCTGCTACCTGTTCTTAGAGCCTTTGTATTTTTGAGAGTTCTTCTGACTTAAGTTGACACATAAATTTAACTATCACAGATATCCCTCTTTTTGTAAGGAAAACCTATTAGGTCACATTCCTACCATCTTCTCTAAGTGGGGTGGGTATTTGCAGAATGTTGGCACATACTGACTGCTTGAATGCATATTGTTTCTTGTACCCTGAATCAGAAAGAATAAAGTTAAAATTATATATAAAAACATTTTATATCTGTTGGTGTTTAGAATGCTTGAAATGTGTCACACTAAATTTAAAATATTAAATGGGAAGTCTCCTATTTTTAAAAGGAATTTTTGTGTGCATTTAATTATTCAACTCTGTAGTACATGTATTTTTTTATTTACAAGCATTTGATTAATATATATGTTTTCATGACTAATCATTAAAAAGGCATTTGTGGAAAGAGTATGTACTTTAGAGACCTAGATTTAAATCCTGACACGGCTGTTTTCCAATTTCAGGAAAATATCTGAGTGACTTTCCTGATCTGTAAAGAAGGAGATAGTAACAACTAGCAGGCAAGAGAGGGAGCTACTGCTTCTGAAAGTACACAGTGTGTAGCAGGTGCTTAATACTTACTGTTCCTCAAAACTAAGGTATTTAGAAGATGACAGCAAGTAGATGAAATTTTGTTCTTAAATAGTCTTTTTTTCTATTAATAAATACTCAGGTGGCCTTTACTTACAACTAAAAAAGAGTTTTCTTTCTTTTATTTTTAATTTTTATTTACTTATATTTTTAGGTTGTCAATATTCTTTTTTATTTATCTAGCTTTAAAACACTTAACAGGCCGGTGCCGCGGTTCACTAGGCTGATCCTCCGCCTGCAGCGTTGGCACCCCGGGTTCTAGTCCTGGTTGGGGCACCAGTTCTGTCCCGGTTGCTTCTTTTCCAGTCCAGCTCTCTGCTGTGGCCCAGAAGGCAGTGGAGGATGGCCCAAGTGCTTGGGCCCTGCACCCGCGTGGGAGACCAGGAGGAAGCACCAGACCCCTGGCTTCAGATCGGCGCAGCGCGCCGGCCGTAGCGGCCATTTGGGGGGTGAACCAGCAGAAGGAAGACCTTTCTTTCTCTCTCTCTCACTGTCTAACTCTATCTGTCAAAAATAAATAAATAAATAAACACTTAACAGACATGTAAAGATTGTATATAAGTGATGTTCTCATACTGTATCAACTTCTTACTATTGCTATAACAAAAAAGTTTTTAATTCCCAGCAAAGAATTAAGAAAACTCAGAAATCAATCTTTCTTTCATTATATTTTGCTGGAATCATGAGGATTTTTAGCAGCAATCCTTCTGAAAGTAGTTATTTAAAATACTGACAGATAATAGAGACATTTAAGTAACCTTTGAAGAAGAATTCTCTAATTTGGGATAAAAATAGCCAGGCCAGAAAATAAAATAGAAGCAATGTGAAATATCAGAGTTGAAGATAGATAAGGAACTTACCCATAGGAGAAAGTGCTAAAAACAAAACCCAAAAGAAAGATCAGTAGGGATTCTTTAACTTATGGAGAACTTACTTTCCCATGATATATTTTCTAAGTCAATGCAGAAACAGGACCTCTAGAGAGTATAAAACTTTCTGCTTCGTCATCAGGAGTACTGCTCACCAAAACTCTATATCCCCTTCCACAGAGACTGTTATATTTGGGATGTCATTTAGCTGGTGCCATTGAATCCTTGGGTAACTAATATCAGTCCCAACAAATCCAAACCATATAGTTTTGTTCTTTCGTAAGTCAGTTTGTTATCCACTATCATGATCAGTTTGGAAAATGTATATTGTTCGTCAGTTATCAATATCATCATTTGTCTGTACGTCTATTTTATATCTATTTTAGGAGATTTTTTTTTATCAACAATCATTATTTGCCAGAGTATAGCACAGAGAAAATAGGCTCTGTTGTGATAGACTAACTGGAAATACATGCAATCAATAATTTTGGTAATAGTTAATTAGACTCCAATACAAGACTATCAAATTTTCTTGCAAAAGTAAAATAGGTAAGAATAAATAAAATTGAAAATCAAGGGAACCACTGACTTAAGGAACAACGCCTACTCTGAGGTAGAAGACCTTGTCATGTAAGCAATATGGGAACAAAACCCATAGGTTCTAGAATCAGAGATTGGTAAGAAAGCAAATGATATGAACTTACTGATTTTTCCAGAACTGTCCACTGAAGGAAGCAAAGACAAACGCATTAGTAGATATTGGGGTTCCCCTCCTTTCAATTCCCAAGCTTTGGATGGACTAGGCCATTAACAACTAAATTCTGTTTATTTAAGAGTGAGAAGCCTTCATTTCCCTTCCCTATTTCTTGACTATTTGGTTTGTTGTAGTTTGGAAAGAACTTGTGATAAGAAAATTAAATGAACTTTACTTTTCATTAATCCTTATCAGTTTTGCCCATGGTTTTAAGACTACAGTTTGCAAAATATAGATGCATTATGGTCTTGTTTTGAAGATACATGCTAACACTATTTACTAATGATGTTTGTTGTGAAGTATTTATGATACTGAAATAAAGATATATCTCTCAGGGTGATTTTCCTTGGTATATTTAGTACAAAAAGCACAAATAATAGGAAAACATGAAATTGTGAGAGAAACAATACGATAACCAGAGATGAAAATGTAATTATGTAAACTCTATGTCAGGGGTTGGCAAATTATAGCCTATGGGACAAATCTAGTTTGCTGCCTGTTTTAGCTTTTTGAGGTAAGAATGGATTTTACATTTCTAAATGGTTGAAAACAGCAGTCATAATACTTAGTGACACACTGAAATTACATAAATTCAAATTTCAAGAAGTCTACAAAGAGTGTTTTATTGGGACAAACACATGCTTATTCTTGTATGTATTGCCAATGATTGCTTTTGTACTACAACAGATTTAAGTACTTGTGACAGAGACTTTATGGCTTGTAAAATCTAAAATATTTATTATCTAGCTTTTATAGAAAATATTTGTCCTCCTCTTCCCCTCCCTCCAGCCCTTAGAGGAAACTAAAGTACTAGAAACAGGTAAAAACCTTAGAGAGTGTGCATTGTGGCACAGTGGGTTAAGCCGCTGCATAGGATGCCTGCAACTCATATCAGAATGCTGATTCTTAACACTGGGCTCCTCTGCTTCTGATACAGCTTCCTACTAACGCACTGAAGATGGTAGCAGAAGATGGCCTAAGTACTTGGTGTTTTTTTTTTTTTTTTCCACTTTTGCAGGAAACTTGGATGGAGTGCCTGGTTTCTGATTTTGTTCTGGGGCCAGTCCTGGCTATTGTGTAAATTTGGAGACTTAATCAATAGACAGAAGATCTCAATCTCTCTCCCTTTCTCTTTCTCTGTCCACTTTTAAAATAAATAAATCTTAAAAAATAAAAAAGAAACATACCAGTGGGTATGTGAGCTATTCCTGAAAAATCAAAACAAGAAGATAGGTTAATTGTAGAATTTTTAAATAAGAAATACAATTTTTCTCCCCACTCTCATTTCTCTAATTCTTCTAGATACCATCAAGACCTCTAGTAGGAAATGAACTGTGGTGGCATAACAATCTACTAGTGTGTTACAAGAATTTTGTACTTTTACCTGCCTTTGTAAGGCTCCTTGTGTTCCAAGTTACTGTCATCTCTCTGATTGCTCTCTCTGCTTTCACCTTTGCCTCCTAGACAGTTCTCAATAGAGCAACCAGAAGGAGCCTTTTAAACTGTCAGACCCCTGTGCTTAGGAGCTACCAAATGCTCCCTAAGTTGCTTGAGCCAAAGCTGGTCATTGCGTCTCTTGCAAGAAGGGCTTAGAAAACCTATTTCCTCATAGCTGTGTGGTAGATTCTCTTTGTGTCTTTTCCATTCTTCTCCAGTTATACAGGCTTTCTTGTTTTTCCCAATGTCTTTCTACCCAGTTTGGTTTACTTGTGGTCTCCTTTGGTTGAAATATTTCCTCTTAGATATCTGCATGGCTAATTCTTTCATGTCTTTCATGTTCCATCTAGTAGTTCTATCAAATGCTGAGTATGGGGTATTAAATTTATTAACTATAATTGTGAATGTTTATGTTTACTGTTTTCAGCTCTATAAGATTTTTTCTTATGTATTTTTAAGCACTTTTATGTGCATGCATATTTAAGATTTCTGTCTTCTTGATGCATTGATGTATATTGTTATCTTTGTCATTAGTAATTTTCTTTGCACTGAGCCCTATTTTATATTATATCGATACTGATACCTCTGCTGTTTTAAAAAATAATGTTGTCACAGCTTATATATCCTATTTGTTATTGTTAGTATGTTATTGTAATAATTAAAGGAAAAAAGACAGGATGGGGATTGGATTCATGGAGGGAGGAAGGAAAAGAGGTAGGGAACTACAGTTTTCTTAGAATTTTATCTATGAAATACGTTAAGACTATTCTCTTTATGCTAAAAAAACTATCTTGAGGGGATTGAAGTACAATTAAAGTTGTCTATATAAAAATATTTGAGGTAAGTTCTTATAGATAGCATTTAGTTGGGCCATGCTTTTTATTGATCTTTTAGTATAAGTTTATTAATGGGTATTTTTAGACCTACTTTTTTTTCTTAAGTGAAAACATATATTTATGAAATTTGCACCAATATCATGAAAGGCAAGTCTCAATTCAGTTCTTTCAAGGAGGGGAAGTCAGAAAAGGCTTTTATTTTTCAGCACGGGTGGTCCAAGATTAAATGTGATAAATTTTATGAAGGAGGACAAACACAAGCCTTTCCCTTTTATTGTCAACTTTGTTTTTTAATTTGAGAGTAGAGAGAAAGAGAGAGGGACCCCTCCTTCCCACACAGAGGAGAGAAAAAGAGAGAAATTTTACCTTCTGCTTCATTCCCAAATGCATACAAAGGCCAGGGCTGGGCCGGACCAGTGCTGGGAGCCAGAAATGCAATTTAGGTCTCCCACATGGATGGCAGGAGTCCTATTATTTGAACCATCACTGCTGCATCCCAGAGTCTGCGTTGGTGGGAAGCTGGAGTCAGGAGCCAGAGCTGGGAGTGCAGTTTGCAGGAATCTTTACCACTAGGCTAAATACCTAATCATTTAACACTACTTTTGACAACTCTATTCCTTTTTCTATTCTTTGGATTATGTCCCTCTTTATACTATCACTTGATACATCTTTTAATTTTGTTATTTCTGCCTTTTATTTTGTTTTGTGACCCTATAATTTCAGAATGGAATATGAAATTCTTAAGTGTATTCTTTCCCGTGGTCTTTCCTGTGATCTGACTCCAATATCTTTTGCTCGCATGATTTCCCTTTGTTTTTCTTTTCTAACGTAATTCTCTAGCAAGAAGAACATTTTTTAGTCCTTTCCATGTGATTTATTTTATTTCTGTGAACGTTGACTAAGAAACTCCAAACCAAATGAAACAAAAAACCAAAACAATAATAATGGTAATGGCAACAACAACAAACTTAAAAATAAAACTATTTTTAACTTATAGGAATATTAGAAAATACAGAAGAAAAGAGATGGAAAACAATTTGACTCTCAGGGTTCAGGGTTTTCATATGTCAAAGTGTCAGCAGGGGTTTGTGCTGTGGCATAGCTGGTAAAGCCTCTGCCTGTGATGCCAACACCCCATATCCACCCTGGTTCCCACCCCAGCTGCTTCACTTTTAATCCATCTTCCTCCCTGCTAATGGCCTGGAAAAAGCAGAAGATGACCCAGGTGCTTGGACTCTTGCCACTCACATGGAAGACATGAAAGAAGCTCCTGGCTCCTGGCTTCTACCTGGCCCAATCCTCACCATGAAAGAAGCTCCTGGCTCCTTTATGTCAATTTATAATTAAGTTATTATTCATTGTTCCAATAATGTAGAAGAAGGGAAATGAGAAATGGTTTGCTTGGAAGTAATTAGAAATTATGCTAAATAGAGATAATACAAACTAAAAAATAAATTACAAAGTCACATAGTTGCTGTTTTAGCTGGAATTTGTACTTTGATCCATCTGATTTCTTTCTCAACTACCATTATCTATTACCTTTGCATTATATAACCCATTAGCATCATGCAAGCAGTTTTATTATATATTTAGAATTCTTCCCTAAAATTTATCTCTAGAAATGAAATTATGAGCTTAAACAAAAATTTGCTTTCTAAAAGAATCAGGTTAATTTAAATGGGATCAGTAATATATGAATATGTAAATTTCACCAGAACAAGGCCAGCACTTATTATGTTTGTAAATACTACCTCAGGTTCTTAATATTTTATACTTTATTCCTTATTTCATTATTATTTTATGTGACTCCTTGGATATATTGTAGTTTCTAAATTCGTCAGTACTTAAAAGGATACTACAAAATTAGAGGTGGTAGGGGATCAGAAGTATGTATGAGAATACTTCAGGAAAAATTTTTTAAGACACTAGAACTAAGAAATACATGATTAATGACTTACCGATAGGTATTGGTGTAACTGGTAGGACAATATGAAACAAAAATACATTAGCAGAATTTTTGGGTTAAGAATATAGTTTCTTTCCTTGTTATTTCCAAGGGATTAACAAAGAGATTTTTGGAAGACTCTAAACCTCCCCCGGACAGATATGTATAATAGAAAAAGAGGGATTAACCTTAATGCTTTTGTGGTAAAGGAATAGTCCTAGTCTGGTTTGAGTGGCTCTATATAGTATATTTCAATTTTGCAAAGACAAAAGGCAACTAATACATACATGCTTAGATCATTTTTTTTTTTTTTTCTATCTGGTCCGGTTAAGGAGAGTTTAAGTACTATATAGAACTTTTATACAATTGCCAATTTAAATGCTAATTGCACTTATTCTCTTTCCTATTTTATCTCTGTTCCTTCTTGGTATCTCCACATTTGTTATATCTCATTCTGTGTAGCTTTCCTTCTTGTAGCAAGGAAAATTTTCATTTGTTATTAAAAGCTGTTTAAATTTTTTAAAGAAGACAAAATGCTTCCTTTTTAGTCTCTTAGTCAAATGATTATTTTTTAATGAGTAATTAATAACCCAGCAAATTGCTGAGTGATGGTGGGGAGGGAATTTAAAAATACAAGCATTAAATGGGATTTGGGTCAGAATTAAGAAAATTTTTCTCCATGTTTTGGGGCATCAACTGTACCACATTAATGAAAAAAAAGTAACTTACTGATAGGTATTGCTGCATGTGCTAAAATTCAAATACAAAGTATTAGGGTGAGTTGACACAACAGTATTGACAACAATAATAGAATTTTTGCTGATTTTTTTTTAGTGTGCAAAGTCTTGTTTGTTTTTAGATAGGCAATTTATCTAGAAAAAACTAACATTTATTTTTCCATTAATTCTTTTCATAAAATCATAAATAGTGCAATGAAATTCTGGTAATTGGAAGAAGGCATGAAGAAATATAAATGCCAACATTTCTTTTAAAATGGAAACAATGGGGCTGGTGCTGTGGCGCAGTGGGTTAAGGCCTGGCCTCCCGTATGGGCGCAGGTTCTGATGCAGCTCTCTGCTGTGGCCTGGGATAACAGCGGAGGATGGCTCAGGTGCTTGGGCCCTTGTGCCCACGTGGGAGACCCTGAGGAAGCTCCTGGCTCCTGGCTTCGGATTGGAGCAGCTCCGGCCATTGCGGCCATCTGGGGAGTGAACCAGCGGATGGAAGACCTCTCTCTCTGTCTGCCTCTCTGTAGCTCTTTCAAAAAAATAAAATAAATCTTTAAAAAAATGGAAACAACTACATTTAAGGGAAATCCCATAGTAAATGTATAATGTACATGACAAACAGAAAGAGGTCTCCTTACAATTGCAGATATCAATAATGTAAGTTTTTAGAACATGAAAATCTCCAGTGTTTCAGAACACCGATAATCTTCAGTGAATGAGGACAGAAATATACTCTTATGTGCTACCTAAACATTATCTGTCAAATGTAAGAATTCCATTTCCAGAAATGGGAGAGAGGAACACTTTTTCTTCCTGTTCTCTTCAATCTCTCTTGATGTGAAACATATCAGGAATATTTAAATTTATATATAAACTCTGGGAAAGCAGTATCTTTTCCTGTCTTGATTCTTGCTGTATCCTACTCTTAGGCACAGAGTAGGCCTTTGTTACATTTTAAATGAGTAAAATATCAATTAGTTTAACTTTGCCAATTCAATTACATTTCTTTCATCTTTTTTATTTTTCTGCCAAAATCATTTATATAGTGTAAAATAACATAACTTCTCATGTGACAATTTTTTAAAATTTTTGTATAGGAGGAATAATTTCAAATGTTCTGTAGCAGTGAAATGACTATAGTTAACAACAATGTTTTATATATTTTATAAAGAACTAGAAGAGAAGAATTTGTAGGTTTCAATACAAAGAGATTATATTTAAGGGTATGGAAATGCTAATTATCCTGATTTTATTATTATACATTATGTAAGTGTATTGAATTATTATACTGTATCCTGTAAAACATGTACAGTTATGTGTCAGTTAAATAATCTGATTTAAAATATGTTCAAAAGTATCTCTAATTTCAGGTCACCTTTTGCTAGCTCATTATTTGATTTGCCATCAGTGGATCTTTTATCTTTTAAGATATTCATCTGTAACTTTAGAGGAAACTATTCAATATAAAACAAAAGAGATTGAAAAACTTGAATGTTAAGGTCTTAAATGTTTGGAGAACTGTATGATCAGAATAAGAGCCAACCCCAGAACTGATATAAACAATGTAAACTTACTTGGCTCTTGTTTTAGTGTGAAAAAGAAATTAAATAAATGAGAGGTTTCTTGAATGTGAAGACATTATTCTCAAACTCTTTCTGCTGAAATTTTAAAAACAAAACTTTGAGAGACTACCAAACTTTCTAGAATCAATCAGGGGCCAACATTATGGCATAATAGGTATGGCTGCCACCTGTGATGCTGGCATTCCATATGGGCTCCAATTCGTGTCCCAGCTGCTCCATCTTTGATCTAGCTTCCTGCTAATGGCCTGGGAAAAGCAGTGGCAGATGGCTCAAGTATATGGTCCCCTGCCAGCTTTGTGGGGTGACCTAAAATGATTGTTGTGGCTACCTGGGGAGTGAACCAAAGGATGGAAGATCTCTTTCTCTGTCTTCTCTTGTCTCTGGATCTATCTCTCTATAACTCTGACTTCAAATAAACAAATAAATAAATGAATAACTTTTTTAAAAAATCAAATATAGTGGGAAGATAAATATCTTCAGATTATTCTATTAAAACCCCTCTTAATTTGGGTATCTTTTTGGAAAGAAAGATTAGGAGTGGAATTATTGATAGAGGCTATTTTCTTCTGATTTCTTTTTGTTAATTCAAACTTTCCTAAAGCATTTTATACCACCAAGAGTTTATTACCTTCTTCTTATGCTGTCCTTTCCTTTTACTTCTTTGGAATGATTATGTTGATTCATTGTAATCATTATACTACAATTCTTTTTTGTTAATAATTGTGTTTTTAGGCTAAGTATAGAAATACTTTTCTTTTTCATCCATTAGCATAAATATATTATGGCTGGGTGACTATTTGGCTGAATGTAGGCACTGTTTGACTTTAAAGTCAGTTAGGTAGACTTGGCGCTTAGATGTGTGAGATCATGGGCAAGTTACCGAGTCTCACAATTTTCTTCTTTATATAATGGGAATAGAAATATTTATCATAAATACATATAGACAGAGCCGGCGCCGTGGCTCAATAGGCTAATCCTCCACCTTGCGGCGCCGGCACACCGGGTTCTAGTCCCAGTTGGGGCGCCGGATTCTGTCCCGGTTGCCCCTCTTCCAGGCCAGCTCTCTGCTATGGCCAGGGAGTGCAGTGGAGGATGGCCCAGGTGCTTGGGCCCTGCACCCCATGGGAGACCAGGAAAAGCACCTGGCTCCTGGCTCCTGCCAGGATCAGCGCGGTGCGCCGGCTGCAGCGGCGGCCATTGGAGGGTGAACCAACGGCAAAAGGAAGACCTTTCTCTCTCTGTCTCTCTCTCTCACTGTCCACTCTGCCTGTCAAAAAAAAAATAAATAAATAAATAAATAAATACATATAGACAATCATACATACTTACACACACACACACACACACACACACACGTAAAGCCTTGAGTACAGTGCCAGGCACATTGTTAGTACCGGGTAAACATTATCACAGCATCACATCAAGTAATCAGGTATCAGTTTCAATTGGAGTCTCCAAATAGACATCGATAGTTGAAAATGGAATAAGTACCTAGAAATAGTAATAGGGAAAAAAACTAAAGGGTGATTAATGCTGAAAAAAGTTAGCAAATAGAATCAGAAATACAAATCTTAAGTCACAACAGGGTACAAATCAGCCTCTAAATAGATTCCATAAGAAATAAATGTAATAATAAGATTGAAAGGAGACTTACTTGTAGGCTGCCCAGGTCTTGCTTCAATAAAAACAAACAAACAAATTAGTGTGGTTGTATGATGAAACAAATTTCACTTATGTCACTTGTGCCTTATACTGAATAATAGTAGAAACAGGGAGATTAAAGAGAGACCCCTTTGTTTTGGGAATGTTATTCAAGGATGGGTCCACAGCTAGTGATGGAGCACCCTTTTCAATGTACCAATGCCATCTCACTAGTCCCAGTGATCAATTTCTGTTCAGAATTGTCGCTCCCCCTCTTCGTGGAGGAGCAACACTGAACCCTGCGCTGTTCTTTTGTCTGCTCGGCCCTCCCCGGGTTTGCTGCTGGTTCTTCCCGGGTTGGCTACCGACCCTTCCACCTCCGTGGAAGGGCAGTTCCTCCTGGCCACATTCCCCACTTCCGCAGGGGAGCGGCACACCGCCAGCCAGCTCTCTCGGGGGCTGCACAGGTGTTCCCCTTAGATGTTCCCCTTAGATGTTCCTGGTGCATGCCGTCTCTCTCCTCCTTTATAGTCCTCCTCCGCCAATCCTAACTCAGCTGCCCACACGCTGAGTACGCTGCTCTCCTCCAATCAGGAGCAAGTCCTACAGTTTATTGGCTGAACTGGAGGCAGCTGTGTAGAAGCTGTTTTCTTCTCTCCCAGCGCCATATTGTGGGAGAGCAGATGCATAGAATAAGTCTTAATTCCAGTAACTTAGTCTAGTCAGGGTTGCTCCCCACAACAATTGATCGTAATGATAGGACTAAGAACCAAAGGGATCACATAAACAAGAATAGTGTCTGCAAATACTAGCTGATAGAATCAAAAAGGGAGAGAATGATCCAACATGGGAAGTGAGATACACAGCAGACCCATAGAATGGCAAATGTCCTAACAGCACTCTGGCCTCATAATCAGCCCTTAAGGCATGCGGATCCGGCTGAAATGCCCATGAGAGTATTTCAGGCATGGAAAGCCAAGACACTCTGGGGGGAAAAAAAAAACCTAAATGAAAGATCTCCGTGAGTGAGATCCCAGTGGAAAGAATGGGTTATCAAAGAAGGCGGTACCTTTCTCTGAAGGGAGGAGAGAACTTCCACTTTGACCACAGCCTTGTCTAAAAATGATCAGAGTCAGTGAACTCAGGTGGCTTCCATAGCCTTGGCAGCTCATGACAAGAGCCTAGGGTGATTACTGATGCCATAAGCAAGAGTGTCAATTTGTTAAGTTAACAACAGGAGTCACTGTGCACTTACTCCTCATGTAGGATCTTTGTCCTTAGTGTGCTGTACATTGAGATCTAATGCTATAACTAGTACTCAAACAGTATTTTTCACTTTATGTTTCTGTGTGGGAG